GTATATGTTTTTATGTCAATACCATGCGGTTGCCGCAACTTCGCGGGCGTTAAAGTCAATTCTATCAATCAATACTCCAGGATAAAAGTAGTCTACGCGCTATAATCTATATCTTTTCTGTACCAATTTTCATCCAGACTCGTTCAGTCGTTTCGATGTAATAGACTATCAAACATTAATCCATCAAAACTTACAAATTTATATTAGCAGTAAGCAAAATAAATATTTAGCAGGCTTAAATTGACAGCAATCAGTTATTTCAGTTAATGTTAATAAAAAAAAAGCTTTTTGTCACACAGAACAATCAGTGTAATGTATGTTAATACCAAGGAGGAAAAAATCTAAATCGATTTATATTCGACTACGCATTGGTGAGTAAAATTGAGAATGCTGACATTCGTCGATACGCAATGGGAGATGTGGCAAAAAAATCCAATAACATTCGTTGGGGAGTATGGGGTGTTTAGGAAATTGAAGCGGTGACACCACATACGGCGACGGCACCTGTGCCAATTACACTTAGCGATTCGGAAAATTGTCAACGAATGTACTCACTAAATTGTAATTTTCTATTACAAATAATGATTAGGCGAAATTTCTGTAAATGAATGAAAAGTGATTTCATTATTTATTTGAACAGGAAACAGGAACAGTAAAAAAATAAGGAATGAAGAAACACAAAAACAACAAACAATACATTAATGAAAAAAACAAGTAATGAAAGTGAAAAAAAAAATAGTGTTTGGCATATTGCACACAAATACAATAGAATTGTGAAGAATCTTGCTAACCATCCGTTTTACTAAAGATGATCAGAATCATTTAAAATTGCCGGATCCATTTCCATAACCTCTAAGGATTAACATTCCTTTACCTTCCCAGAATGGTTTAGACGATACACTATATTTCACACAACTCTTAAAACTGTACATATAAAGATAAAAGTTAGTGTGTCAGTATGTTACAAATACAAAAATCAATAAATATGTCCTTGCCCTAACATTTATGTAAACGGAAGAACAAAAATATCAAAGCAATCAATAACAGTCGCATTATCAATTCATCAAATGCTGTTTTCGCTCCACTTTACATAGTGTATTAATAACTCTGGTGATTTAAATATATATTATCCCAACGACAATTTCTTTTTCAAGGCCTAGACAAAGCTAGCAATTTTTTTTTCTTTTGGTAGCCCGCCAAAATGACAAGTAAAACATTTCGCAAATTTCTAACATAACCTTCATGCATGCTGGGTGCAAGCCAGTCCATGGCGTGTAACTTTGACCGAGTTAAAATAAAATTCTTATTACGTTCCGTAGCCAAAAATTTTAAGTCAAGTTCAATGTGAACTTGTTCTATTTAATAAAATATTGGAACTCTTTATTCAAAGTACATGAATAAATTATTCGCAGAGAACTTCAAACTGTACGATATAATTTAACTAGCTTATTGTAATAGCTTTGAAAGAGGTTACTTTGGTAATTAATAAACGATCGTAAACTTGTACAAAAAGCAATATATTATATAACGTAATCAATTTCCTTAAACTTGGGGTAGAAATTCAAAAAGCAATTACTGAAGTCAATGGATTAAAAAGAAATAAAAAGAGATTTGAATATTACTTTACCGGCAGGTACAGGTATTAAGTAAAAATTGCATTATAAATACACAATATGCATATATTGTAGCAAATGTCTAATGTACGAGTATGTCTGCGACTTTGAGGACACTGGTTGTAGCCAACAAACATGTAATGTTTTTTCAGCTTAAAGAATTCGAACTTTAGGCAAAACAGTTTTATTTTACGTTACAGAATACACGAATTAACTTCTTTCCTTGTCATATCACATAAGTAAATTGGTATTTATTGAAACTGCACAAACAAAACGAGTTTCTCCATTGACTTAGTTTCGACCCAAAAAAAGATTCGATAGAAAACAAGCGATTTCTGGCGCAACAAAAACTTGTCAGACACGGACAAATATGAAACTTCTCATCCGATATGTAGAGCAAATATAGTTTTTCCCCGGCAGATAGGACTTTTCATGACGATTGTGCAAAGGTTATTTTGTAGAAATATTAAAAGTTATGTCGAAACTGGGTAGGAGGTAAGGACTTCTGTCTTCTAAATGCTCTGTTCCTTTGCTAAAGTTATCTAAGATGTAACAAGGGTTTTTTTAATAACAACTAAAGTTAACTTACCGTGAGCTCATAACGCATCACTATTAATCCTAGGATAGCAAGCCGAAGATTTTATTCTTAGATTAATTAATCGTTAAATAGGGCACTTGAATTCAGTTTTTACGAGTTGCGCTCTCTCCGAACATTTGCTGAGACAGTTGTAGGGGTTATAAAACTGATGTTTACGGGCACCGCAGTAAACACATGCCGTGGTCCAGCGCTTGAATACCGACCCTCGTAAACGACACGCCCCGCTCACAAAACGCACGATCTCATTGTGTACAAGACGTTTAATCGCAATCTTATTGTGTTCGTATCGCGAATCTACTAGCCTCACTCAATCTACTAACACTAAACATATAAGGTCACATATGAAGATTTGAATGCGTGTTATGATTTTATTATTTTAAGTAATGTTGTTTTTTTAATATAAATTTTATGTGATAATATTTACTTCGAAAGCATCTCAATGTATTCAGACGATCAGAACTCTGTTGGCGTAATCTACGCTTTACTCTTCTAAAATAGTTCATATGTCTATACAATTGCGATGTTCAGTAGGCAAATGTTGCTTTTTAATTTCTTTTTTTGGTTTATATTTATTGTGATTCATCGTATTGTTGGTATCTTCAAATACAATTATTAATAGAATTCTTTAGTAAGGTAGACAAAAAAAGTGCTTCTAGTTCCTGATTTGCTGAAGATCTGTCTTGAAGTTTGTTTCTAAACTTTTCAAATATTTTTATTTTATATCTAAAGTCGATAAATACAGCACATAAAGTGAATGGACAGACGTAGAAAAGACAAAAGCAAACTAAGGTTAACACGGGTTCTCACTCAGGGGTGGGTCGGATTGGATTGGCCGTCGCTCGCGGGTTTGGATTTTGAACGACGACAAATACCACTGGAGAGCTTAAAACATATATTTTATATCAAAATAAAAAACCAACTTTATTAATTTTATGGGACAAGCTTCCTTCGTGAGGTACATAACAGCCGAATGAGGTCATACGCCGCCGCCGTCATGTAAGTGTAATTTTCTTCAACATTTAATAAAGTTAAAACTGACATTATAATGTCAGTGCCTTACTATTTTCATTGCTTATTATGCACCGTAATCGACTCGGTGTTTATTGTATTATTAGAAAAAAAAAACCAAATTTTTTGCTTATTTATTTGTTTAAAACTTAATGCACATGTTGTACAAAGGCGGACTTAATGACATGGAGCAAATGACGCGGTAGGTGCCAAAAATAAAATATTAAATTTGACATAGTTCATAAAAATTGACTAATAGATAAAAGAAATATTAGAAATACATAGATATATATAGACTAATATACATAAATTCACTGCTATATATTATATAACGCTTATCTAACATGTCTAGATATTGCTTAATATACCTCATGATATAGATCAATATCTAGATATTATTTAGCGACACATATCTACATACACCTTTAATTATCTACACATTCACACATAATTCCTAATAGTAGACATGCGTCTTTTTAGGTAATTTAAGTCATTAAAATAATAAAAACGCTTATCATAGCAGCTGTCTTAGTGAGGAACCTCTATAAATACAATGACAGTTTAAATTATGTTAAAAATGTAACAAATCATTCGAAACCTAAGCAATTACACCACATTCATAATTATAGTAGTAGTAGATAATTCAGACCACAAGAAGATCCCACACAGTTCACATAAATACTTAGTTCGCAAACAAGCATATCTTTCTAGAGCCCATTTGTTTTTATTTATTTCTCTATTCATTCAACCTTCCCTATCCATACATAAGTATTCTCTTTTCAATATTTTCTCATGCAACGTTCCTGAATAACACTCAAAAGGAATAACGTGATTCAGACCTGTATGGTCCTTGGCGTAATCTCATGTCTTTTTATTCGTTACAGTCATTCGCCCCACGTCTCCTTTGAAGTACTGTAATGTTTAAGGTTGTCTCGGTAGTAATAAAAGTACGGAGTATCTTATAATTTAAACCGTTTTTCCCTTTATCAAACATCTTGAACAATTTTAGAGGACGGCCAGGCGCGTGAAGTTAGCAAAAGAACATATAGTTATGTGGTTGTTTTAAGATTATTACTTATATGGTTGTTGTATATAGAATAATTCTTCTCTATGAATAAGGTGTTACAAACGGAATGTGTCATTTTTTTCTGGAACTAATATAAGCTCTGGAATCGTGATAGAACAATCGTGTGGTAACGACTGGTAACACTGCATCGTGCAGTGTAGCTCCATCTACAGTTAGAGTACAGAATTTAAATTTGCACATTAATAAACGCACAATTTCATTAACAACCATCCTATATCTATCCTTACTATAATCCCTGATCAAACGTATCACGTACAGACGCTTATCTATGTCTATGTGTATTACTAGTAACACACACGCATAAGCGATTTAGACAATCGCCACAGATAACAAAATACTCTAAATTGGATAACGTATGCGCGCACACGGCCGCGCCGCCGCGCCTTGTTGCTACATGAATTTATCGAATCAATTTGAACAAACTCTAAAATAATTCAATAGTCGTGAAACAGTTTGCAAATACATGTATTATGTCGTATAAAAGTGTTATCAATGTATTGTTTGAGTTGTGACGAGTTTTTTTATCGCTATTTGAGTGTTTGATTAAGTCGAGTGCGGAGCGACCAAAGTGACTGTTATTTTGTTAATTATGACGAATTTAGCAAAGAATTAAGTATCAGATTGTGCAAATGTAATTTTAGTTTGTAGTTGTTATAATTTTATTATGTGTTAAAAGGATAATTTTATACTTAAAATGGCTTCAATGTTGATAATGTTACAGATTGTTAGTTTCTTGGTGAGTATTCCTACTTCCTCGTTTAACTTTCTTGAGACACATACCTACTTGTAATCGTTTTCTTACATGGAATCAAGAATTGGAGTTATATGTTAAACTCTATTAGTATTATCGCTTGCAAAACACACACCACTTCATGGGTTTTTAAGGAGTTCTACATTGATCTAATTCAGTAACTGTTATTACAATAATGTCCCGACCATGAAAATGAAATTAAAAACGAATTAGAAATCGTATTTTTAGATATATCAGTTTCGTTTTTTAGTTTTATCTGTCGATTTCAAGCTAGTAATTCGACCTCTGCCCAAGTAGAAATGTGTAGGTCTTCAATATAGATTTCGAATTTATTTAATAGAACAGGAGATAAAGCATTACGTTAGTAGTAGAGATATGTACGTACATGTACACCGAGCGACACGCTACGAGTGACTCAATGGAGATAGATAGTATTTCTGTGTTGCATCACATGTTATCTCGAATTATTCTTTTATTGTTAGTAGAAAAGTATATTTCTAACAGATCGGTCAACAAGAAGACAGACTTAGTGGTACATTTTATTTCAAGATACCTATGTACTTAATATAATTTTAATGTATTTTTATGGCATGTGGATATATACTAGACGAATAGCGAAATTGACTTATGTCATTAAACTCATTTGGAATTATGCATTTTTACAATTTGTTTTAAACACTTAGAATACTGGAACCTACGAAATATGTATTATCTCTTCACTTAAATTCAATTCGCTTAAATGTATATATTTTTAGTATGATGATGATGTGATGGCGGTTTTATCATTCCGGTCGAGCCTGATCCGTATGTGTCGAGGCATGGCTCTCCCATACTAACTATATATTGTTAATAAAATGTACAAAACAATACTGCGACTGCACGGATGGCGTAGAGGTTCAAGCGGTCGCCACGCCGCTTTCTACTGCGCTGAGTGTTGTGGGTTCGATCCCCACATGGGACACCACTTTGTGTGATCTATAAATTGTTGTTATTTCCTGTCCGTGTCCGTTTCATGTATGTTTGTAAAGTCCCCCGCGACACAGGATATATTTACCTAATGCGGCAGTTGTCTTTAAATATATCTTAAATATAAAATTCTCGTGTCACAATGTTCGTTCCCGTACTCCTCCGAAACGGCTTGACCGATTCTCATAAAATTTTGTGTGCACATCGCGTAGGTCTGACAATCGGCCAACATCTATTTTTCATACCCCTAAATGGTAAGGGTGACCCATCCCTATTTTTTTTGTTTTGCAATACAACGTTTGCCGGGTCAGCTAGTATATATATATATATATATTCATTTCAGGACTTGTTGTCAATTGGCCTGATTGTCCCGCAACTAACGAACCATGCTAGACAGTTGGGATTAAATTTCTTTCACATTGGAATGATAGGAGCGCTATATTCGGCTTGCCAAACGATATCAGCACCAATCATAGTAAGTTGCATTTAACCTCATATTTATTTAATCCTCATTATTTTACGATGGCATTCAACCTGAGACGACGACGATCTGAGCTCATTACAAAGTCGTATTTCGAGCTTGTTGTCCATGTACTTATATTACGTACAGCATAATATGTAGAGCATAATCTATGATATCTAGATATATAATAAACATGAACAAAGTAAATTACAGTACTTTTTTTAGATTATGTAGGTTACAGTACGATACGCGTGATAAAGCATACGGAATTTCATCACCCCTATTGAAGGTAAACAAGAAACAGAAGGCAAACTAAACCCTATAATAACCCGTCTGGCCAGTGTCGTATAAGACCAAAACCTCCTTTCCAAGGAGAGGCTTATGTGCAGCATTGGACCATTAAAGACTGTCGATATAATACCACGGTATATACAGTAAACAGTTAATGTGGTCTACAAATACCTGACTCATTAGTGGTCTCGCTCCTGCGTTGATAAGTGTAGGTTACAGGCCCTTAAGTCTAGTTTTTAGGGATTCTGACGGGTACGGCCACGTCTTGGAATAACACCCAGAATAAACAATTATCTGATGAGCACCATGAGTTCATCTATGTCAATACATAGTTATGTTTGAGTATGTACATCACTGGTCTGGTTACTACAGTACAGGCTCTATCTAATTTGAGATCAGACTGTGGTGAGTAAAGTGTATTAAGTAAAAAAATAAAACGACTGACTGCACTCTTCTCTTACTTAAAAATAACGGTTAGATAGTATATACCTACGTACTGTTCCAAAAGGGAAAGTAAAGTGTCATTTTCGAATGGACCACGTGCAAGTGACATCACATGTGTTTGCAAGAATTTAAAGGATACAGGTTGTTTTGCTGTTATAAAATAAAATAAACATTTTACTCATTCCCAAGAAGTGTTGCCATTATGGAAGAGAAGAACTCAAAGAGCTTACATCATGGTCCTCACTTCCTCATACTGATCCCAAAACTTATTTATGAAGATCTCTTCTTAATTTCAGGGTAGCTTAAGCGACATACGAGGCACAAAACCAATATTCTTGTTATGTTTGGGCATTTGTTCCTTTTCATACGTCTGGTTGGGAATAACATCGTCTATAATTATATTTATGATGTTAAGGGGAATTCTAGGTAAGTAAATTTACGCACAATAATAAAGAGAACTTGTCTATAAAAGTCAAAAATCTATACTAAAACTAGTAGAAGTCTATTAAACTAAAAAATGTATAGAGATTCGTAGACTCGTAGATTCTGAAAGTAAAGTCCACGACACATTTGAGTCTTAATTTAGCCTTACTTAGATTTGGATTAAGACGGAAAATAAGAACAATTTACGACAAAAATATACTTAAAAATAAATAAGTGTGTTCATAGTTTTTAATGTAATAATCTATTCAAACTACATTATGCAGTTTGATTTTGTATTGTTTATTGTTCTTTAACAAAATGTTAAGTGGAGAAACATGAAAATGTTTATCAAAAGTGAAAAATAAAAAGAGGTTGGTTTTACTGCGACTCGGGAGCGTTGTAACTGGTTGTAGCGGTCTGGGTTACAAATATTATATTATATAGAAACAGAACTACTGTAGATAGTCTTTTAACAGAAAAACACAGTAGCAATAAACTTCATGTCTAATGTAATTTAGTTGTGGATGGACGCCCATTAAGCTGCGTTATTTTCTTACCCCTTCAACCCTTATTTTCTATTCTGTTTTAGGAATATTTAAACAAATACAGTTGCTAGTGAAAGCGGTTATAGCAGAAAATTGTAATGATACTAATGAACAGGGTGTGTTGTATGGCAAGTTGATAGCAATTGCAGGATTGGGCATGTCTGTCGGGCCTGTCGTAAGCGGGCACGTCATTGAGGCGTACCCAACCAACGGTTTTACTATACTCTCGTGTGTAGTAGGAGCTGTGTTTGCAGTAAATATAGGTAAATGTTAATTTATTTACTTTTACAGTACTATCATTTTTATATACAACAACAAAAGTAAATATCTTTCAAAACATTTTTCCTGTCCCTTATATGAGAATAAGTAAACAAAGTTAACCTTTTTGCGTTTCCATATAGACAATACCCATATGAAAGATGGGTAGGGGTAGAGGGGTAACACATGCGACTGCGACAGGACCTAGGACTTGCGACCCAGGAGCAAGTCTAGGGAGTACTCCTGCGATGCGTCAGAACTCCCCTCCACTGTCTGCTGTGATACCCTATGTACCTAACCCTATTTGATATGATCCTAATAATACCGCTTTGATTATGGATATATTAAAGACAAATTTTAAAGTGAATTTATGGAAAAAAGGTTTATCTATACACTGTTAAAGTTAAAACAGGATGTGTACGAGTATGTTTAAAAGTATATTCTCGATCAATATCCGAATGTTATAATGTACTATAATATTTTATCTATTTCAGGTTTCATATATTCAATACCATTCAAATGTAAAGATAAGAAAGAAATACCGAATGGAGAGGCTGTAACGCATACGTTACTTCAGTCAATGGGCAACACACTGAAGGAATCTGTGAATGAGTTCTACAAGGTCGACTGGCCCATCTTTTGGGACGTGTTTGTATATAAAATGCTAATGGCACTCACAATGGGACTCTATTTTAGTAATTTTGCGTTATTCTTGAAGACGGAACATGACGTTTCACCGAAAAGTATAGGGTATATGGTAGCTTTCCAAGGTGTTATAGGAGCTTCAAGCAATCTTTTAATTAGACATATAAACAAATTGTACAAAGTTGATACAGATTATAGTAAACGAATATTTCACATTTTTCTTATTATAACATTATCTTTAGTTGGTTTAGCGTCTGTACCTGAAGCGTATATGTATATAGTTTTTATAGTACCAAAATCAGTATGCTTGTCGATAGCCAGAGTTGTGTTGTTAGAGATGACAACAAGTAGAGGTAATCCTGACCAAAAAGGAGCAATCATGGGAGTATCAAATAGTGTGAAGTCCTTGACAGGTGTAATAACGCCAATTATTAGTGGTGTAGTAACTCAGTATTTAGGTATAAGATACGCATTTTATGTGGCTGCATGCTTTAATGGCATAGGGACTGTTTTAAGTTACTGTAACTTGAAGAAACCAAAGACAAAAAAAGAGAAAATAAAATGATATTTATTGTTAAGTATTTGATTTCATTGGCTTACTCAGTGGTACCTTAATCACTTGTAGAATGTAGCTCTATAACGTAACTCTTGTGCCTTTCTAGGGCTTATAACGGGGAGTTATAAATCTTTTTAATGTGATACACAGACCCGTACGAGACGGCGCCATCTATTGATGGTTCAATTAACTAGCCGCACCAAAGCTGTTTGAATTCATTCATTCATGATTCTTATGCAAGCGTGGTTCAACAAATAAATTATTACATAAAAAAACTGCAATATTTAATTGTCACGTTTGCCATAGTTATAACTTTTCAGCTTTCAAAAAATTCAACAATGAAACAAATTTTGAACTGTTAGGACTTCATAGTAGTTCAAAATTTGCAAAGGCACAGGCTAAACAAAAGGCACTGGAAACTCCTTCGCTCGAGTTGAAATATAGCCTTAAATAAGGAAGTATTTGACCAACGCTGAAACATTCGCTTTGTTTGGACAACATTGTTAAGTAAAACTATTCCAAAACAAGTGTAGTCACCCACGAAATGGTCTCCACCTGGCCATTATATCGAGTTGCCAGAGGTGATTTCTAATTAATTTACAACGCTCATAACCCGAGTGATCGAACTTCCGACAACAATTTTAGCTATTTCGACATAATTAAGTAACTTCATAACAGGGATTGGCAGGAACATGATGAGAATTTTCATAAAATATAACGTTTTAAGTGAGAATTGAATATTTGTGCGGTACAACTTTGTTTACATGAAAAGGTTTAAATGAAAATGTTTGAAAGTTGAGTATTTTGTTAGAACTTTTAAGTTTTTTATTTTACAAGTTGCTACGAAACCTTTTGTATACTTATATTTACATCAGATTATTTTGTGAACACATTTAACGCATCTGAAAAAAAAACAATGATCCTGATTTTCAGTGATTTTCGAGCCCCGAAAAGTGACTTACGTAAAAGCGCATTTTTTTAAATAAGAGGGACATTATTAACAGTTAATATATATAATATGAATACAGTTTTGACGAATGTGTATGACTGTGTATGTAGCGTGTCATAGCGCATTCGAATGGAACGTCAGAGATTCCGCCCCCTTAAATGAATGTGACGTTCTGCCGCGACAATGTCAGTGTGTGATGCCTGACATCGTCTGAAACTTGTAGTGTGACTTGAAAAAAAAATGTTCTGAGCAGAAATTGTAGACATAAAACTCAAAAAAGAGCTAGATTTTAAAATACATGAAATGAGGGGATGAGCTGGCAGTTGAACGTACAAATAATAACTAGATTATTTTCAGAGAAAGAGAGAGAAAATAGATTTTAAGCACCGAAAAAATTCACTGCCACATCTAAATAGGGATATACGTTTTAATTCCGAGAATACAAGAAACACGACAATTAAAACACAATTATTAAAAGTAAGAACATCCTTCTCAAGACTTCCTTAAAAAGCTATATTCAACGTCAATACTATAAGAATGCCCTATTAATTTTTATTAGTCTGATATTTAGTCTTAATAAGTGTATTTAAAGACTAGGAACTCAAGTGAAAGGTAGAAGTAAGAGAAACAAATGCAGTAGCATTAGACAAGGACGCTGAAAAAGCTATTACCCATTACGTCGATTATATTTCCGAAATAAATATTTTCACGTTACAAAATCTGCAAAATCAAATCATAAGGAAATTCATATCAAATATTTTAAATCCAGGCTTATTCTTCTACACCGACCTCGGAATCTAGATTATCTAAGGACTTGTACAAATACTTACGTAAGTTCAAAACACGTTTTAGTGTTGATATACAATCTACGAGTAAGCCGCAAGTTAAGGCCCGCTAATGCCAAGATTACGGTTTACATTCTAGTATAGAGACATAAATCCAAGTCTTATCGGCAAAAAACAAAGACAGACAGCTTGAACAAATACAAGTTTACTTTATATTGAACATGTCTGCAAGAAATATAACGTCTTCATCTCCCGTATTTACCTTTTTCTTAAAGATTTATGTACACAATAAATACAGGCTCTCTCGGGTGCCCAATCACGATCCCAATATTCGGAGAGGTTACGTCCAGTCCTAAATAAACTGAGGTCGGACTACTAAAATGTCCATTTAACTAGCTTCGGTGGTAAAATAAAAGTTTGGTAATTATAAAAGAGGAGTTAATGTATGTTTAGTCACGTGTTGAGCTTTTAAGAGGTTATGATATAATTAGGTATGGCATTCTATTTTCAACTTCTTATAGTTCTTAACAATCAAATATACAATCATTTTTCGTCGTACGCCGTTACTAGTACCTATAACTTTTATATCGGGATAGAGCCTAGTTGGTGCGGCGTCGAAACGGGGGAGGGGGGGTCTCACACGGTCCAGGTCCAGGTCCGTCGGGGTAGTTTTTAGTGGAAACACCACATACTCCTGGCTCCTGGCTGGCATTTTCCACCACGTCACCAAAAAAAAAAGTACCTATAACTTTAGTAATGATATGATCAGTGGCGTGGGACAGCCATACTTCGCCACGCATGGGTCGACCCGACCGAAGCGATACCACTTCTTTACATAAAACCGCTGTTTAGAAATTCTTTAGTTGCTTTTCACAGATTCCCACCCCTTTTTTTAGACATACAAAGAGTGGCAACGCTCTGGTGCCTCATGAGTCCATGGGCGATGGTAGCCGCTTACCATCAGAGGACCTGTCTGCTCATTTGCCCTTATACTATATGTGAAATGGCTTTTGTGTTCTTATATTTAACAAAAATACAATCTTAAATTATTAATAATAAAATAAACAATTATAAATACTATTTTATTTATTCGTTTAACTTGACACTGCTTAATCTTTCTCGTTTTATCTGTAAATTGAAGTTGAACGTCACCCTTGAAACAGTTTTTGTAACAGCCATGAACTCAGGAATTTCACTTCAACCGTGCAGTCAAGTAGAGGGAGTGCTTTCCCTGTTGTTTCACTACGGGACGCGTTGGAATTCTTGTGAAATGACAGCGCAAACTCCCGTATCTAAAGACGATGTTTAAACATAGACTTAATTACTTGTATGCAACTATACATTTCACATCATGTCACTTAAACTGTATATGTTTTACAAGTTTTTTGACTGATAGGTTGTTATTCACAAAACATTTGAACAGTGAACGAAACAAAACCTCATTACAAAATCGAGATATAAAGACATTGAAGGTCAAAACGCGAAAACCCCTTGAAATCTGAAAATACGGAGAGGCACCCTCCAAATCTCTGAATAATGAATGATTACATTTTAAAACAACCGACAGACTTCACAAAACTAAGAAATATAAATATTTGAAATCCGCAAAAGGGCCGTACATTCAGTAGGTTTACGATTAGCACAGTATTAAGGGTCCGGGTTTCCATTATCCCGGGTGAGCCCGGACGTCCTACGGGATGTCAAAAGAAATTCCCGTACATGTAATACGATTGCAACCTAATGCTGAAAGTGCTTACAGATTGGATCGATTTTCAACTGACAAGAAAGTGAAAGGATTCTGAAGTAGACGATACATGTTTTTGTACAGAAAGGGGTAGACAAAATAATTCATCCCATTTTTTTTTTAATAATTTCTTTTTCATTTTAGTTTTTTTGCAGGCATTTAAGGAAGTCTGGATTTTAATCATCAACATGCATGGTAGCCTGCGAAATTTTACTCTTGACGAAATCGTTCATTTTTATTTATCAATTTTCAAGTTCAATATACAAGTAAGATTATATAAATTAGAAATCACTAAATTACCTAATGTTGTGAGCGCGTATTTTTTGTGTAAATGTAATTTTACAACTCTTTGTATGAAGTCTGTTAAAACACGAAAAAGTGTTTGTTATTTCTATTTATTTAGTAATACTCGTAAATTGGAAAGCCAAAATCAATGCTAAAATTGACTCAAAACCCACAAATGCCTCAATTTTATTTCAACCATTTTTTTGTATGCCACGCATTTGGTATTGAGGTATTTAACAACACCATCAAACAAAAATTCCTGTTTCGAAGACAGTAATCAAATAAATTAAGGTTAGGCGTCAAATTGTTTAAGCTGGCAGAGTAAAAATACACATGACAGGGCGCGATCAGTGAGCAAATGCCTAATATCTTAGCAAGTTACCAGAGTAACGAGTTTCTTCGATTTCATGTTCAAATTATACGAACATTGACAAGAAATTGGGTAGGTAACGCCTCGACAAGGTCACCTACGGAGCGAAAATTCATTGATTCCAAAGAATTCCATTCAGGCTCAAGGAGGATTACCAATCATTTGTTTCAGTTTTATTTTGCAAGACAGGAGCCGGCAAGAAAATTACTCGTGCGTTTTTGAAGGCAAATGTGGGAGAAAATGTGTTATTTGTATTCGAATCCATGCGTTGGGATGAATTCAAATGTGATTTAGGGCAAGGGTAGATATGTTATAGTCATTTAAATATGCTATGGTTATTAACATAAAAATAGGTCATCTACAACAACCTAAAATATATTATTTACATCATCATATAATAATAGTTTAACACACAGGTGTCAGCGATATTAATAGATTTCTTTTTGGATTTGAGGTCTAATTGCCAGTTCGTGTATGAAGAATGATGTGGAGAAAGTGGAGAATGCTTGATTGTTGATCGACTGAACTGACTGAACATGAGGCCGTCAGGCTTCATGTTCTTAGACTGTGAGAATTTTACTAGTCTTTTGTGTATTTTTATTGCTATTGAACGATGTAGGGCTGCCAATGTTTTGGTAACAGTGAAAATCAAAAACGATGTTGAGAATATTTAGTTTAATTTTTGTAGTTTTATCATTGCTTTTAATTTTGTGTCTATGTACATTCATTGCGGTTTTGCACTGCTAAAAGGTTTTGGCCTACTATACCATGCAGGCCAGACGGGTTGGTATAGGGTTTATTTCAAGTTTTCCTTCTCTTTGCAGTGCTGTTGTCCTTTTCTGCCTTAGTGCCGACTGGTCGACCCGTGGGCGTCGT